CCATCCCCACAGGATCCCTCCATTCCCGTGGGATCCCTCCATCCTTGCTGAGTCTCTCCTTCCCTGCGGGATCCCAAGGCTTCCCTCGGGGCTCTGTGCCCCCGGGACTCGCTGGGGCTCAGCTCCAGGCTCCGGGCTGCCCGGCAGTGCCCCATGGAGCCATAGCTGTGGGTACAGCACGGGATGATCCCGTTTCCAAGCCTCAGCACTGCCTTCGGGCAGTTGTTAGGGCAGGGAAGCATCAGGGAAGAGGTGAAGAGGCACCTGCTGTGCCCGGGCACCCAGCAGCTCCCAGCACATCCCTCCTCCTGCTCCAGCTCACTGCTCTGCTGTTCATGGATGTAGATCCCAACACGCCCCAGAGCACGGAGCAGCTCCCACAGAAACCTGTAACCAAACATGCATTGCACAAGTGACATCTCCAAAATCGGGGGGAACGAGACCCTTTGGACGTCTCCAGACAAAGCTCCCATCCCAAGACAGGCACCTGGCAAATCCAGACAAGGATGGCTGTGGCTTTTCCAGCCAAGTCCTGCACACCCCCAAAGATGCCCATCCCTTCACCTCTCGGGGCACTCATCCTACAGATGTACAACCCTCCAGGGGAAGGGGGTTTAACACCCAGCCTGATCCCTGCAGGGGAAGGGGGTTTAACACCCAGCCTGATCCATGCAGGGGAAGGGGGTTTAACACCCAGCCTGATCCCTCCAGGGGAAGGGGGTTTAACATCCAGCCTGATCCTCCCAAGTGCAATTACACAAATCTCCACAGAGGAACTCAGAAGCAAATTTCCAGAACCCAAGAGTGGCCATTGGGATAAAGATGCAATGCCTACCCTCTGAAAACTCTCCCCCAAAATGCCAGGACTGTGGAGCCACACATGTGGAGGGTCTGGGCAGGCACATGAAACCATCCCCCCAGAAAAGGGAAGAGAAGGGCTCTGTGCTGGAGGTGCCCTGCTGCAGGTCCCACCCTCCTCCAGACCCCGGGTACCTGGGAGTTGCTTTGCAAAGAGCACAGAGCTGGGTGTGAGGCTGAGAAACCCAGCACTTTCTAGACACAAAGAATCCCAGCAGGATCTTCAGGATGTGGAGGGTAGAGACCAGTTCCCTGCTACTGGGACCAGTGCTGTTCTCCAGTCTGCACCAGGGCTCGTCCTTTTTGTTTCCCTTCTGGCACCTCCCCAGGGCAGAGCATCCCTCAGCCCTGTCCCTGCCTGGCTGGCAGAGATGAGCTCTCAGGGACTGGTGATTTTAGGAGCGGGATTGAGGCAAGCAGGGACAACATGAACAGTCAGCATCTCACACCAGTCCTGCTGCAGTGGGGAGGGGAAGCTCTGCTCTCCTCCCGTGCTCTGTCCTGAGCTGGGCTGTGCCCCCGGCCCTGGTGGCACAGGAGGTTGGGCAGGGCTGTGGTTTGGGAAGGGAAGCAGGGCGTGGTTGAGTGTCACAAAAGTTCATGAAGGGGGTGAGATGGGAGTAGCAGATACCATGAAAAATGGGGTGGAGAAGGGCAGTGCAAACTTTCAGCCTTTCAGAGCTCCCCAACGCCCAGGACTGCTCCCCATGAACTGCTCAGCTGCAGCCTCATCTCAACCCTGTTGCCCAAATATTCAAGGATCAGCAAAATTCCATTTCCATGCCCCTCTGAAAAGTTCTTCTCCTTCCCTGCTCTTGGCAGGGTTCATCAGGTGACACACAGATATTTGCTGATTTTGTCACCCCTGTTCAGGGATGTTTGCATAAGAAAACTTTTTGATGCTATTTTTCAAAGAATCACAGAATAGCTTGGGTTGGAAGGGACTTTACAGCCCACCTCATTCAGGGACACCTTCCACTGTCCCAGGCTGCTCCAAGCCCTGTCCAACCTGGCCTTGGACATTCCAGGGATGAAACATCCACATTTTCCAGTGAATTGTACAGGAATGACTGAGAGAGGGGCTTACTTTTGATAACCTTCTCATTTTTTGACTCACTTCTTGCTACCACAACATTATGCAGAGGATACAAGCCTGGGCATCCAGGAATTCTGGACATCAGCATTTTCTGAGAGCACCTCAGAGAATGCATTTGTACATCTTCGAGTATTTTTCAGCCACAGTGCCAGGATGTCCCCAGGCAGATCCTGGGAGCAGCTCAGGAGGAGAGCAGCCCCCTGAGAGTGGAACCACGTGGAGAGCACCGTGGTCCCCAGTGTCACATCCAGGCCTTGATGTCTTTGGCAAGGAAGGTCACAGGGCAGCTCTGCAGCTCTGCTCTCCAGATCTGGGTGCTCTGCTGCTCCACAGTCCCAATCCTTTGGGTGTGGAGCTGCCCAGCCCCCTTTTCTCAGACTCTGTGACACCCTTAAGCCCCTCCTGGGTGCTCAGTGTGCCAGGGACCTGCCTGGATGAGTTCACCCTGTCCTGCCTGGGGAAGGGAGCAGGGCAGAGCTCCCACAGCACCTCTGCCAGAGGGAATGGGAGGGGTGGTGGCTCTGGGCAAAGCTGTGGCAGGTGAGGCACTTCCAGTAGTTGTGGAAATCCTTGGAAGTCCAATACACGTGGGCAGATTCCCAGGAGAGCCATGGAGCCTTGTAGAGGAAGGAAAGAATCCTGGACCCCACAGGACTGTGCAGCTCCCCCAGACCTGCTGAGGGTGGGTGCAGGGCCAGGACCCAGGTGAGGAAGGGCCACAGAGGACAATCCTGTGCTGATGCTTGAATCCATCCCAGACAGGGAATTCCCAGGGCAGAGCAGCTCCTGGAGGCTGCCAAGGGAGGCAGCTCAGCAGTGCTGGGGCAGAGGGCCCCGACACCTCTCTGGTGTCTCCTGGGAAGTCTCTGATGTCAGCAAGGTGCCTTCAATACAGTTTGGAGGCCACATTTTCACACCTCTCGCAGTATCTGTCTATACTGGAAGAGTTAGGTTGGAAGGACACATATTCCCTCCTGGCTGGGCTGAGGGAGGGAATTCCAAACAGTGTGGAAGTGTCTGGGGGCAGGTGGGAGCTCCAGGGCAGATGGAGGAGCAGCCACAGTCCCTGGTGTCACAGCAGGGGCTGCCTGTGCCCATCACAGCCCGTGGCTGCCCTGAGCAGCTCCAGCAGGAAAGGCTGAGCTGCTGAGGCCATGGAGGGGGGCTGAGCTGCCCTGCTTGGTCCTGGCTCCTTCTGCCAGCAAAGGAGAGCCTGGGAGAGGTGCTGGGCTAAGGAATGACAGCCCTGGCTGTGCCTTCTGCTCTCCACACAGCAACACAGCTGGAGAGTGACAGCGTGGGGGACAATGTGAGTGCTCTTCTTGTCCCCACAGCTCTCTTCCTTCTTGGATTATTGGGCAGCTGCTGTAGCAGGGCCTGTCCCCAATTCCTGCCTGGCACGAGCTGTGAGAGAGCCCAGAATGGGAGGGGGTGTCCAAGCCAGGAGGGGGAGCACAGTCCTGGAGCTGCTCCTGGGGAAAATCCAATGAACCTCAGGAGTCTGACTGGCCAGGGAAGAGCTGGGTCAGAGGAGGATGAAGAGGAGTTGGTGTCTGAAGGAAAGATGTCAGGAGAGACACCAGACAGAGCTGGAGGAGGACAAGGTGCTGGAGCTGGCCATGAAGCGAGTCCAGGTGCAGGAATGTGGTGGCTCTGTGCTGCCTCAGGACTTGGTTCCAACAGCAGAAGGGAAAAGGCTCTGCCAGAGACAGGGCTGAGCTCAGGTGAGTGGGGATGCTGGAGAACAACATTCATCAGGGGAGAGGAAAATTGGTGAAAATAGGAAAGCAGCAGGAGAACCTGAGAACCTGAGGGGGTCCCCCTGCATGGGTGAGGCTGCTCTCACTGTTCCACTGCACAGTGCAAGGCCGGGGCTCAGGCTTTGCCATGGAGCTCCAAGCCAGCAAAACCCATGAGAGCCTGGAGAAAGAGCAGTTGTCTTCTGTCCTGGCAAGTTCCTATATCCCAATTCCTGGGGTAATGCCCCAGGGCTCGTCATTGCAGATGCCTCTCCAGTTCAGTTCTTTGATTTCAGAGCTGATTTGAGCTGTGCTGGTTTGACAGCAGGTTTAGGGGCATTTCCCAAGGCACAATGGCCATGTTTTTTCTAAAGCAGATCATTTCTGAGCCAGCTGCCTGTTGCTCTGTTCACTGTGCCATGGCCATCTGTACCTGTATCAGCAGTGATTTCACACCTACAGGTTACACAGGAGTTTTATCCAGAGTGTTTCCAAGGACGCTTTAATCCAATTTCAGTCGCCACCTGGCATCATTTAATTCACCACAAAGAGCCAAATATTGTGAGATTTTGGAGAAAAAGTATTTTGAGGGATTCATGCAAACCCAAAAGAGAATTCCCACTCAAAGTTTCTTTTATGCTGGATTTGACTTCACAGGAATTTCTGATACTCAGGTATTGATTAAATGTATTGGGCATAATATTCACATTTTCCCAGCCAGGGCTTTGCAAAACCCACCCCTCTCCTCATCTGAGTGTAAATTGGTCCAT